ATATGTATACATATATTTTTTTAAACAATAAAATTTTAAAATTAAAATAAATTTGGATACAAAAAGAAATTTTATGTAAATGTTAATTTAATAATTTAGAAATTAAAGAAAGTGAAATTAACAAAAGAAAACAAATTAGATTAAACAAAAGAAATAATAAATAAAACAAGTACCTAAAAATTAAATTAAAAACAAAGATTTTGTCTTAACAATTTAATCTAAAAATTAAAGGAAAATTAAAATAGCTGAGAAAGGAATTTATTTAAAAAGGAAAAAATTAAATAAATTCCAAAAAATTAAATCTAATAAGAAAAGTATGCTTTGTATAACAATATTAGATTAAAAAAGAAAATAAATTGATATGAAAAAATGCAGCTGCCCGAGGAAACGAACTCGGATCTCTCGAATACCACGTCAGTGCTCTGCTCACTCGGCCATTACGACTGTTGGAGCGACGAGAGCTAAATTATGTACACTTGCTTTCTCTGACAATAAATTTTCACCACGAGTGTTGAATGAGAGAGCTTTTTTTCTAAGATTTTTGTGCTAGTTAGAATAACAAAGGTCTTTCGAACTATCTTGTCATCCAACTTTCATTTGTCTTACGAAAGTCTTAAAAACTTCTTACTATCTTAGTCCGAATTACCATGTTAGTTTAACGACATTAGGGTGGTACGTCAGGCCGATAGAACCTTAGATGTGGTGGGTAAGTACTAGAACGGGTTGTTTAAGGTCAATGAATTTTGTAACAAAAAATGTGTCTCCTCGGGAGCAGACCATCGATATATCATACCTTTAGATTCGACTGTAAATGTCGAAGATATGATAAAAAATGTAACAAGGCGATCCCTACGTTAGGCCAAAAAAAATATACAAAATTTTCTGGTACGATCTAACATCTATCTAACATAACTACACAAACAACTACAACTCACTGCACTTATATTTCGCTGAACATCATTTAATAACTTTTCTTTGTTAATCAGTAGCTTCACTTCAATGCATAATTTATAAGTATGTATGTATGTAACTAAATAACGTCAATGGCCTTTTGAAGAGTAATAAATATAGACACGTACGCTATCAAAGCACTGCCCATACCCCACTATATTGTCATAAGTAGTGCGCCCCACCCACATTGATTTCTTTATTTTTCGCGCTGAATGCATTATCATATATTTCTATGCAAATGTGCTCGTGTAACGCAACAAATAAGGAGACGCTTCGCTTATCAATGTTCAGTAGCACTTATTAGTAAGTATATGTAGTACAAGCATAGTTACTTAAGTAAGTATAAAAATATCCAAGTGCACATACATACATACAAGCCTACATATGTATGTATCCATATTTGATTGTTGTAGACTGTTAGCCTTGCAGGCGTTGTATGTTTTTCGTTGTTTTCGCTTAACAAGTTCACAAGCTCAGTCTTTATGGCTTCAAGTTTACTCGCATGTAAATAATTTTTACCTTGAAGGCAAATCAATATTTTCCATCTATTTTTGGAAAGTTTGCAAACTATGTGTTTACTAGTGAAAGACAAGGGGGGGGGAGAAAATTGTATTTATTTTAGAGGCAGACATGCATATGATGAAGATAAAGCAAGCAAGGCAGGAGGGTAAATATATGCATAGGCTAGTCTGCTGCATACACCGCCTGTGGCCTTTCTCGAGCAGATACAATCAAAGGTGTAAGAGGAAGATGCTACTAAATACATACATACGTAACACAAGAATACCAATCCCTAACCGCAAAAACAGCGTAAGCGATATTCTTGAAATAATTCAAAGCTTTCATACCACGTATTTATATACATAAAACTTTCATAATTTTACCTCTTGCAACTTTTTGGGGCATATTCATAGTCGAAATAAAATCGACTTTTAGGCTAGTTATAGCCGTTTGACATAATTTTCAATGGAAAATCTGTCAAAACAGCTGCACCTAACATTAGATTCGACTTTGTTTCATCTACGAGTATGCCCCATTATTTTTAATAAATTGCTAATGGAGATCATTTTCTGTCAAAAAAAATTTTTTCTCTTAAAATAAAAACCAATTGATGAGGAATATATCAATATAACACACAAGCAACATTAGTAGATAAGAATTATTACAAGGTTTAGCCTTTTATGCTTGTATACAAATTATCGCCGAATATTTATTTGTACCGGGAGCCACGAAAATGAATTTAACACAAATATCTTAGGGAAGCAACAAAATTTTGGCATATTAAAAAGGTCAAAATCTTACCAGAGATGTAATTTTTAAGCGCCTTTTAAAAGTAATATTTTATGAAAAAATTGTTAAAATGTGTATATAAAATTTTTAATAAAAGAAAAAGGGCAAAAGTCGCATAATTTTTAAGAAACTTTTCAAAATAAGCCTATTTCTAAAAAGTCGGTGTCAGGGGGCAGTGTCAGTTTGACACTTTAGTCGCACAACGGTAACATGCACAAGTAGAACTGATAAGCTTCGATTCATGGGCCGAGCAACATCAAAAAATAGGTACAGTTTTTTCTAACAGCGGTCGCCCTCGGCAGCAATATCCGACCTTCGATTACTTGTCTGCCTTGAAAAATTCTCTCGTAAAATCCATTTGTCGTTCGTAGGCGACGTAAAACTGTAGATCTTTTAGACTTTTTGTTGGTAGCTTGTAAGGTGGTGCGGTCTAGTGTACCCGTACATACGTTTAGTTCCTTTACGTATGTATATTTAGGTATCAAGAATATCTCCAAGAACTTACATACTTATGCAGACGCTGTAAGAGATACTACACCAAAAGTAATCAATAAAACTGAATTTATACTCACAGTAATGAGGTGGTTTATGCTGCTTGGAAGATTCTTATTGAGAAGCGATTTGATTTTCCAAGAGAGATTTGTTTGCCTTATAAATACAAACACACATATATATGGGGACAATTTCCGTTCAGCTCCCAACAGTAAGAGCTCAGTGGCGTTTGTTGGGAAATATGAAATGTCAGCTTTATATGTGAAAAGGTAAAATCACTATATACAAGGATACTCAGCGCGAAATTCACAAATTTCTCCTAATGCATTTTGTAAAACTTTTTCAATATATTAGGCGCCTTCGATAGATTTCGAAGGATATTAATATTTTTTAGAATAATTTTAATAAAAAATATCGATAAATATATCGATAACTAAATTTATAAGTAGACAGATAACGATCTCGATAAATAAGTCGTATCGATCATATCAGTAAATATGATATTAAAACAATATTAATACATCGAAGAGAAGGGATCGATAAATTCCGAGATCACAATTTCGATTAATAAATCGATAATCAACTTAAAGGAGAAAAGTTACGAAATTGGGCACGTTTCTTTAAAAGCCATTCGAAGCCTCTAAATTCTTTCTCTGTAAATCCCTAAAGTTCGAGTATTTCGTAAAAAAACGCTTTTTGCGACTTAACTTTTCCTGCAGGGTCATATCACGAGTACATTTATACGATTTTTCGCGTTGTGATTTACAAAAAAGAGCTCATCCTAATACATATGTAGTGCATATAAATCTGATTTCTACCTGCTACTTCTTCATTGATAATCAGGTGGATGAGATATAAGAAGCTTGGAAAGTGCATACTCTTTATTATTAGGTATTATGCATAAATAGTACATACTAATTTTATTTATATTTATTTTTTATCCACTTCTCTCTTCGCTCCACATTCCTGACTCACTCCAATTGCTTCTTGAGTGCGCACAGCTCACGTAAAAATTTATCACGCTGCTCGCGACGTACCTTCAATTGCTTCCTGGGCACCATTTCCTCACATTCAGCGGCTATCTTCGACAAGGTCTCACCTGCTTCCATTTGCGGTGTCGGTCCATAAGTTTGACTTACTGCATAGACTTCATCACCGAAGCGCCCAAAGTAATCGGCTACGCCATCAGCATTCAAATGTGCGGTCTCGAGCGGTCCCAATAGCGCATAGCGTATACCCAAACCTTCGGTCATGACGCGATCCACATCGGCCACACTCACCACACCATCGGCAACCAAGCGCCAAACTTCATTCAGTATGGCGTATTGTATGCGATTGGTGGCGAAACCTTC